CATTTTTGCACAGGGTATATAATTACAGCACCTTCCATCCAAATGACTTTTAACTGATTTAAATGTTGTGGCTGTGCCTTCATAAATTGGAGGGGGAGAAGGGGAAGGAGAATCCTCACTTCTTGTGCAGCAGCTAACCAGTTTAAAATTGGGATCCACCATGGGGACTGGAAACACCAGGTGACAAGGCTGCTAGAGTCCTATAGCCTGTGCTTACCTATAGGGTCTTACAGGAACCTACTTCAGTCACGTACGAGTCCAAGGCTGCAGGAATAGGCATCTTCTGTCATAGTATGGTAAGAGGCTCTCACATTGCATAGTGTCTCAAGCTTAGCTCAGAGAAACCTACTCTCCTAAAACTTTTTTGCTGCTCCCAGAGAGTAGAGTTTCTGGTGGAGTCCTAGTGGAGTTTCTCACAACATTCCCTCTAAGAAGGAATGCATCTGGCACTGTGGAAATGTTTCCTGTGGAAATTGTTGATATCAACAGAGTTCCCCTTCTTAAACTATATTGGTTCAGGGAACAGTTTTTAAACCTGTGTGTCCACTGCATACTTTCTTTTTTACATGTGGACCAAGTAAGGTGTTATAATGTGTCCAAGGTCATACAGGAGTACATGGAAAGTTGCAAAAGAGCAGGATGGAGTGGATTAACTCTTGAAGAAAATAGTGCTATACAGAACTCAAAAGTACTAGAATATAGTATATTTTACTTTACATAGTACTATTTTTAATTCAATATTCTAGTATATTTTAATTCTATAAATTACTAACTACTCTGTTACTTTATAATATTAGAAAACTACAGAAGTGTTCTTGTATTACTTGAAAATGCATTGTCCTGCTGTCCTGTCACAAAACATCAGAAGTTTTTATTTGGTTGATGTGTTACTATGGAACCCCTTTTTGCCAGTTAAAAGAAGTATTAACTTAATAATTTTGAGAATATAGAAATCATTGTACAAAAATGAGGCAAAATTATGGAAATGAGATTTATGGCAGATTACTTAGTTATGCGTATTGACTATGGAATTCAGAATTGCTCCTTGAACCAGCCCTACTATAAGGAATCCTAGTGCCTTTGGCACTTCCTGAGCTCATCCTCATTCAGTCCCACCCTTTTCCTGTATCCTCATCTTTTCTTTTTCGCAAAGAGGCCAAAATACGTGAAACTGGCTGGATTGAATAGGCAGGAGTATGACCTGAGGCTCGTATATATAAATACATATCTACCCCTTTTTCCTCACTATCCTAGGTGCATTCTGCAGTCCCTCTCAAGCTTCAGATTTCATCCTGAGCTGATAAGGCACAAGGTCTCTTCTTAGCCTTCTTGGGAAACACTGGCTGCATTTACAGTGTCCTGCAAGATGACATTTTCAGACACTGCTTGAGCCACAATACTGAAACAGCCCCATGCTGCCAATATGTATACCTCACTAGGCCATGGGGGAAAGCATGTGGCTGTCACCTCTCTAAAAATGCTATGGCAGAACCAGGGCACCCTTCTCTTCTCATTTACGGGGCTGGCCATGCTGTCACATCACTGGAGCCCTTCCAGGAGGAAGGACATGTTACACAAGAACTGCACAAGAAATTCTAGATTTAGAAAAACTATGAGTGTCTCTGCAACCAAACCAAAGCTTCCTTCACCTCACAGCCATCAATGAAATGCTGTTCAAGCAGACCAGCAGACAGTATGAGACTCTACGTGCATACATCGCACACATCCACACCGTCCTGTGTAGGCCAAAACCGCCCCGCGGCTGACCTTCAGCCAGCAAAGCTGCATCAGTTTTGAACCAACAGTAGCAGGGCCAGCACGTCACCATAAGAAAACACACAGGTTCATCCACAAAGAAAGCTTATCTTTACTTGGTTAGAAAACATACATTGGTTCTGCTTTCCAGACCAGGTTCTTCTTAGGCACTCAGGTGTATCATGTCTAGGAATATATCTATTGGCTGCTTGAGCTGCAAACTGAAGAACAGAACACTGTGTTTATTTCCTAGACAGATAATCCCACCTTACATTCTTCCCACCCTCAAATCCTGTTCTTTTCCTCATTAAGATCAGGCAGCTGAGAAATCTCGTAGGATCAGATGTTAGCGACTCCCTTTCCAAATTCCCTTGGCCCTGGTTCCTTTAAACTTGTGCTGTAGAGTGCTCTTATGCTGAAGAAAAAGGACAGTGTTGCTCTTGTCTGTAGTGTTAGATAATGCCTTTAACGAAGGGGACAAGGTAAGTTCTGACAAGTATTCTTAGTTCTCAGAAGGGAGTGGGAATGGTGTTCTTGCTGCTTGGAGTCAGTGGTTCAGACAGGCGCATAATCTGATTGTACTGAATACAGTGAACAGATAAAAAAAGTCTTTGGACAATCTCCAAAGCTAACTTCAGCATAGAACCAAGAATTTGAGTGTTGGAAAGACCTGCCTGGCAAGATTGGAGGCAAGGGATGTATCTCTAATAGCCATATGTGATGTACTGGGGGGTGGGAGGAAGGGCTGCTGTGTTACATTAAGACAATTGCTGAATGTCTGGTCAGACACCCTCAGATGTTACTTGGATGCAGATGGCTACAGCTTTCTCTGGTGGGGCTCAGTGTCACTTTGCATCAAATATTGCCAAATACCCAGTAAAAATATGGCATTGTTAGCCTGTTGACACTTAACTTCTTTGGGAAACTCCAGTTAAAGATGATATTTTTGTTTTGGTTTAGGTTTTTTGGTTTTCACTCTACCAGTCTCTTTTGGAGACATGGGCAGCTGAGACCTGGCTCCCTTCTTGTTTCAGAAATTCCAACGCAGTTTGGAGGTCTCGGGAGGAGAGTGAGTCCCTCTGGCCAGCCTTGGGAGGCTTTTAGTTGATCGTAGGACACAGTGGAGAGGGGTGACATTTCTGAGGCCCGGATGTGTTCCTTATGAAAGTGCTTTCAGTCCGTTAAGTGCCATCAGATGTTAGTAAAAGTAGTATCTTTACATATATTGGGCAGTGGAGAGCTGTCACAGGATGTGAATTTTCTAGATAGGTGAGGAACAGATCAGATGCCATTTGAGCAGCATTGTAAGGCTGAAGAGATGGTATTCCAGTTGGGATGCTCTCACCACAGCAGTCATAAGGAGCAAGCTAATGTGGATGTATCCATAATAAATAACCATTGCAATTTGACAGCTCCATGGCTTGGGCTTAAAGGTTAGGCAGAGGTCTTTTACCTATCCTTTTCTCTTTACACCCCTAATTGTATCCCATATGAAAAGAGAAGAAAAGCAAAGTTTATGCTTGTTAAAACCCTCAGCATAACCTTATGCATCTCAGCAAAGACAGAAGGAAATCCCCTACATGACAGAGAATTTTGTGAATGGTGATCATAACTGTAACTTTGTATATGTTAACTTTTAATTTGTGTTGTGCTGCCTTTCCCTTTTACCGGGAAGATTATAAAAAGCCATAAGAACCAAGCCTCTAGTCCTCTCCCTCTGTGCAGGCTTAACTCCTCAAATGTCATTTGAGAACAAATCCTGGCTTGTCTACGTCCAGCCTTCTTTCTCAACAGCTGCATATTTCCACCCCTGGTTTTCAGAGATGCCAAAAATGTTGTGATTTTCCTGCTCAAAAGACAATTCTTCTTCTCAGCAATGCTTACTTACCAGATGACTCAGTAACTTCCAAAAAACTTCATGCTGCTCTTCCTTCCTCTCATCTTAGTGCTGTGTAGTGATGCATATTCTTCTGGCATCTGTAAAAACACTGTATCTGCCTAACACAGCTAGAGCCTCTTTTAAACTCAAAAGCAGAAAAATGTGTGCAGACATTCTTCTCTGGGCACAGAATTTCTCTATGACATAAAACACAGATAAGCCTCACTTTCAGAAGATAAAAAAATCAAAGGAAAGTAGTGGGGCTAGCAAAGATAGACGTGGAGAAACAGTTGCAATGTATTTGGCAGAAGCCATTATTGAACGTACAGAAAGATCGTTGCAGTTCTTTGTTCACAGAGCTCCCCAGCTTCTGACTTCTTACGGGACCTGATCCTGGAATCTGGGATATGGCCTGTAGGAAGAAGAATAGAAAACACTGCCCACAATACAGACAGATTTACAGCAATTTTGTTTCTTCAACAGAGTGTTTGCTCAAGTCTTAGCATTGAACTGCTAAATCAGACAACCAAAACCTGGAGCAAAGCATCTCAGCCAGCTTGTCTTTATGTAAACAGCTGCATAGAAACGCACCTTGATAAGTGAGTCCTAGTGGTGAATGTCCTCATGGGTGTTTAGCTAAGATTTGGGGGGAGGATATTCTTCATACTGGCTACTCTGTAAGCGTTTCCCTAGGGAATGTGAGAGAATTTGTCTTCCTAGCTTCTAAGCCGAATTGTGTTACTGACTAGAGTGGTTAACCTGGGTCTTTGTATGGTAAGTGATCGGATTAGGAAGGCAAAGCCAGTGTGTGAGAGTTCAAGGTACATATATATGTATATAAGACAAGCTAACATTCACACAAATGGCAAAAAAGTGATTCAGGCCCTATTTCCTGTAGGTTATAAGGGCAGAAGAGACGTTTCATTCTCATGGTTAATTATGTCCATGTCAAACAGATACTATGGTCATGAGGGTAGAAGTTAAATAGATTAGGGTAATTAAGCAAAATATACCTCAAAACATGCCTCAGAAAAAGAAAGAATGATAGATACGTAAGGTAAGTCTGTCTTCAGTCTCTCAGACTTCACTCAGAGACAATTTATGTCCTATGACCCTTTGCAAAGCTGAAGACATAAAGTGACTGAACCAAATTAGTAAGTAGTCCCAACAATTACCAAAAAGTACAGTAACTTCAACTACTGAGCGATTTAGAGTAAATCACTACGGATGTCAGTGAATTTTTGCTAACACCCGCCCTTGCCAGCATTTTAGCAAGGCAGTCAAGTCTGACATCCCAATGCAATAGTTTTACTGTGAAGTCTTATTTTTGTTTTAATCATAATATTTCTATTACACTATTTTTCAGGCCCTGATTATATCAAACAAAAATTTCAAGAAGGAATGGAGGTGAAAGAAAAAAATGAAGAAAAAGTTCAGGAAAAGCCACCTACCCCAAAAGAGTCACCTCACTTTTATCGAAAAGGTACTACACCCCCTCAAACCCCAGAAGCAAGTCCAAGGCATAGTCCTCCTCTTTCTTCTGAGCCTTCTCCTTCAAAACAACTGAAAAGGCAAAGCTCCACTTCTGGGGCAAGACTCAGTCAAGAGAAAAAGCTTTTAGCCACTGAGAATATAACACCCACAATTAACAAGCCTTTATATTCAAAAGCACCAATGAAGGAGGAAGTAGCTGTGAAACACCAGCCAAAGTTTTCAGCTCATCACAGTCCCATCAGCACAGAGAATGGGGAGCTGCATGGTCACTACCATGGCTATTACGTAAAAATGAATCCAACAGTGCTTCCACAGGAGCTCAGGGAAGAAGATGAATATGTCAACCCATCACCGACAACACTTGCACGGATACCACCCTCACAGAAGCCAAGTCCTGCTAGATCTGGGGGTAAGCCAGATGCCAAAGAAAACAAACCTGACACAAAAATAAAGAAACCAGAATTTGCTGCACCAAAGAACCCAGCTAATAATGAGTCACATTCAGCAGTGGCAAAAGAAGTAGAAAACAGCTCGGTGAGTACTGCAAGAAACCTTTTCATTTTCACTGCCCTTTTGCCTCCTAGCGCTGAGCTTTGCAACCTAAAGACAGGCAAAGCTCACTTCTGTCAATTCTTCATCTGGATACAGCCTGCCAGCTAGAACCCACTACACCAGACTGGAGTGAGGAACAAATATTCCAGTCCTTTATATTATCCTTTTTGAAAACTGGGAAGGGATAGTTGATAGCTAGATACTGACAGACTTTTGAGACATGAATCCCTATTGCATCCATAAACACAAAAGTGTGTTAGTGTGTGTATTAGTGTGTGTATGTGTATATATGTGTGTTTTGTGTGTGTGTAGATACATATTTGCAGATATACATATATATATATATTGCCCCCTCGCCCCCAAAAATAATGTTTGTTGTACTTCAGTGGATAATTGGGCAGTACTGGGAGTTACACTCATGCTCTTCCCCAAAAGAGCAAAAGGTCTACTTTTGACTACTGTTGGAGATGGGATGCTGGCCTGTGGTCTGCCAGTCCAGACAATCTCCCATTTTAATTTTCTTCTCTGTGTTAATTGTAGGCTCTAAAAACAGGCAATCTGCATCAAAATATAAACTGTTTTAAAATGCGTACTTCTAACAATGCTTGCGTTTTACAGTGATGTGAAAAATTTTACTTTCTTTTTCGTCAGGAAATGGAGAAGGTGTTTTAAAACTATAAATTCAGATCAGTGTGAATCTGAATCCCATTATTATTTAGAAATAATAGAGCTATCAATAGTTATGCAGAAAAGGATAGATGACTAATAGCATTTCTATTCCTTGTTAGAAGAAAAAGCCAGGTTATCGAATTCAGAATCTCTGATGATGATAAAATTATTTCTGGGCCAAGAGAAACTCAGGAAAATGTTAGTTGTAGATCCTAAAGTTAACCTTTAGGGAATGAAGAGATCTAGATAATTGTCATAATGTTTCTTTTTTATAAGCATTCTTTTTTTGAATCATTTTCGGTACTCTAGTAGAAAAAAAATAGTGTGTCATTATTGATGGGATAAACAGAATGACCCATTTAATGAGATCCAGATAGCCTAGCACAGATCTCTCAAACAGTTGAATAATTGATACCAGACTTCATTAATAAAGAATTTAAAGATAAAGAAGTGTAAGACTAACATGCATTGTAAAAGATCTTGTCAAACAAGTTTGACATCTTCAGGTGTGACAGAGGAATCATATCCTCAATCAAGAAGGTCACTTGATTTGCTTTTACACAGTTAATTTATTCTGACAAGGAAGCCAGAGTAATGCAAAGGCTAAATGTCACATTAAAATAATTTTTTAAAAACTGACGGATGTAATTAGTAAAAAGTAATTAGAAAAACATCAGTAATTTGGTATTATTCTGGTGAGGTCATTCTTGGATTAATTCTGCTGCTCTATTTTATTAACATTCTTATTAATGACATGGAAGAGGACATAAAAGTATTACCCATGTAGTTTACAGAGAACAGGAAACTGATAAATAATGAAAACAACGGATCACCAATACAAGCTGATCCAAATCACCTGCTAAGAAAGATGCAAGTATAATTATCCATGTGCAGCACAGCAAAATATAAGATTGTATATTGAAAGACAGTTAATAGAGCCTGGCCATGCAGGATCAGAACTGCAAAAGGTTGGTGAATCAGGAGCAAGAGAGGCAACTGAGCATGAGCTCCCAGTCTGCTGCTGTTGTTCAGAGATGTTAATATAATCCTTAGATTTATCAACAGGAAAGATTAAGCAAGAGTACATGGGAGTCTGTTTTATCTGGTGTTGGCACTGGTGCAACCACTTCTGGAATAAAATACAGTGCCCATAAATCAGGGATTTAAAATGAAAAAAGCCTTAAGGGAAAGTCCCACGAAGAGCTGCAAGAATGATTAAAACATCTTACAATGAAAGATTTGAGACAAAAAGATCTGACACATTAAATCACTTTCTGTAAGTACACTTTATAAAATAGTTTCCCAAGCTAACAGGCAAATGTGTAAGAAGATCCAACAGCTGGAAAGTTTTAGATAAAAGTCTTGTTTTAAGTTCCTTTTAATAATATTAATTCAATGTAACGTCAGTTTTCAGATGCTGAGTTTTTGGAGCTGTCACTGAATAGTTTGATAATGAGCATTTTGCCAAGATGTCAGGAAGCTTATATTCTGTTTTGTGTGGATCAAAGTAGATGTTCACAGTGGTTTTGTAATCTGCAAATCTGTATTACAGCTGATAGCAGCCCTCTAACCTTTCAAATCTCACAGATATGACTCCTTTGTAGGGTAACACAAAGCTGTCAGGCTTGTAAATGTTGAGTGAGCATGCACAGAATTTTAGCCTGGATTGGAATTTTTTGTTCAGCTCTTGTGGAAATAAGTGGCTAGAAATAGTCCTTATTTTTCCTACATTCCATCCAAACCAAATAATGGTTTGGAGCTGAGGGAGTCTTCACCTCAGAAAACCAAGTAGGGCACCTAAACAGCGGTTTATTGATCTTCTAGAATAATCAGGATAAGGACTGTGAACCTATAGCCTGTTATCAGGAAAGGTGAAAAAGTGATGAGATACTGTGCATTAGCCACTGTTTGTTTACTGATATTAGAGGTCATCAGGCAACTGTCCCTCTGCTTCATTTGGAGCACCCTAATTGCATTATTCTTATTATCAGCATTTCAATAAGGAAGGAAGGTAGAGTTTAGGAACTCGTTTTTAATATACTGGCATTTTAAGATATATGTAGACGTATGTGGTTTTTTCAGAGATGTCTTCCATATGTGTCTATAAATTTGCCCGTATAGAACAAATTTCCTACATGCTTATTTCTTTAAAATGCTCAAATGAGTAAAAATCCTAAAACAATTAAAGCAGAAAGGAGTAGCCTACTGGTCTAGCAGACTGAGGGAGAGACTTAGTACAAAATGACTGTTAACATTGCCTGGAGACTTTTCTTTTTTAATTTTTAGTATCACCTTTCAACTTCAGAAAAACAGTAGCCTGTTGCAGTGCTCCTGGACTGAACTCAATAGTGTGCTGGAGTTACGCAGTGGCTAACCTAAGAGTGTGCAGTTACTGAGGAGAAGCCAGATTAGTGTACTCCTCTTTATCCCAAACGCTTCTGAATGTTGAGAAACTTCAGAATTCTAGGGCTTGCACTGGGGAATTACTTTGTTTTAGTCAGTAATTGCAATTGCTTTATAGTCATCCTGACAAATTATTTTGTTGTGGTTTGAAAGTAAATCTGCCTTAGATTCTCAATAAAAGTTTAAAAATACATTTGTTAAGGGATATAAAGAGAAAAGAACTCTCACTCCCATGAAAAGAGAATGAGAAAACATGGGTTTGGAATGCAAAAATGGATCTATAACATTTATTGAGCACTTTCATTAGATTAGCTGAAAGTGCTGTATAAAATTGTGCTGTGCTTTTTCCAAGTTCCCAGTGATAATGCATTAAGATCATAGATACAGAATGTAAGATTTTCGGTTCTTCCTTTAGATTTGTATCTAAATCAAAGCCATTTCTCACATCTGAATGAAACATAAACTTCAATTTAGATTAAGAACTTTAAACAACTTTATTTACAGAAAAGTCTGCAGCAGCTGTTTTAGTAATCAAATCCATGTTTCGTATTTTCTGTGAATCTGTTACATCCTTAAGAATGTCATTGAATATCATCTGTGCAATAAATTAGTTATAGGAACAGTATTGATTCTCTACGTATCCCCATTTCTGGCATTATACTTGAAAAATATCAGCACATACTTCTTAGGCCACATGTATAAATGTGTTTCTCTATGTACTTATTTTCTAATGTTCAAAAATCAAAGTTTAGAATAATTTCAAAGCTCAAAAGAAGGAGTCATAATTTTATCAAGGTGAAAACATACATAAAGCATGATGACAAAGTCACTGTTCGTCAGCTGCTCCGAAACAGCTGTCTGTTCGCAAGCATTTACCCTAATAAATCCTTTTTTCACTGAGAATTAGGCACCTTCAAATTACCTTATATTTACCACAGTGTGAAGTGTGCACAGAGACAGTTGACCATGAACCAGTACTAACTGTTGTTTCTAATTGCTCGTTAGCAGCCTCTAGCCCCAGTATCAGCTTGCATTCTGCTATCCCATCTTGAATATGAGCTAATTTGAGATTGTCTTGGATTTGGGTAAAAAGTAGGATTGAATTGCAAAAAATACCATTGTAGTATACATTCATGAATACCCATTTTATTTGCCTGATAACGTGTCCGTGTGTTGCCCTAGGTCAGGTACAAGCCCAGGCACAAGTGTTCTACTATATTGTCTTTTTTTCGTTTTGTAGGAAAAGATTTTTAAGCCACACAGAGTGTTTAGCCTGGTTTTTACCTGTATCTAAAATCATTATGTTTTGCTGAATGTTACCCAGTGTGCTTCTCTTTGTTCACTTAACATCCAGTTAGTAAGGGATATAACTACCATGATGTTGGAAAAATAGACCAGTATTTGCGTGATCCTAAAAAAACCTCTGAGCAAGAACTTTATGCTAATTTTAATGAACATTCCTAATGCAATGGGATTACAAGACTAGTCTTAATACTTCCTGGCACTAATTTTTGGAAAATAACTTTCTTCCCTCCCCAAATGAAAACTAATAGTATGGTTATATTTTTAACTGCATAAATGTCTGACTTACTACAAGCTGAAAGAGCAGTTTTTGAGCAGGACTGGAGTTTTTCTGCTACAGCTTCTTTAGTGCACCTGTTCTAGTCACTCTTTGACTGTTCAGACTAATTTTGGCTTTTGCTATTTTAAGGCCTTGCAGGACACTAAAGTCTTATTTATGGTATTTGTCTTAAAGCATTAAATGCTCATTTCATAGGTGTCTACAACACAGGTAGTAGTTTATTGCATAATAACTATGTGCTCCACAAATACTGTTTGATCATTTTTTAGTACATCAAGAAATTCTGCTTTGGGCTGAAAGTTGTAGTTATCAGAAGAGGAAACAAAATGCACGTAGCGGGTCAAAGGAGATGAGATTTACTTCCTTGAATAAAGCATAGACTCATTATCATAAACAGATAACACATTTTTCTTCGATCTTCATATAAAATCAACAACCCAGTTCTTAAGGTGTCACTTTCTTCTGTCTTTGTAGATGAGATTTCATAATTCAGACCATAGCCCCTAGGTTTTTTAGCCTAATTTATCTAACGTTATTGTGGTGAGATTGTTATTCCTAACCTGATTGACAGATGCATCAATAGAGAACTCCCCTCTCCCTCTACCAAGCTTGATTCTGTAAGACTGTGCATGAATGATACCAAGTTGCTGTTTGAGCTGTAGTCCCAATTTGCCATTCAGCCAAAAGCTGTCTTGCAGCTATCAGGATGCTGTTTCAGGATATATTTCAGGTGATGAATGAGTTCCTGGCTCCTGTGAAGTCGCCGTAGATCCAAATTTTTCTTCAATAGTAGTAAATCCACTTGCTTTCCACGGACGTTATTTTCAAATATGCAAAGCATTAGATGGCCAAATCCCGATGAATTTTAATGGTATTAGGCAATGATCTCTTTCACAGTTCCTTGCAGTTCCTGGTGCAGTATAACTGTAAAATCTTTAGGTGGGAATCCCAAACTATAAAGCAACTATTGACCTGATTTTGATCACACGGGGGGTCCCTATTAGAATCATAAAATCATAGAATGGTTTGGGTTGGAGGGCACATTTAAAGATCATCTAGTCCACCTCCCCTGCCATGAGCAGGGACATCTTTCACTAGATCAGGTTGCTCAAAGCCCGGTCCAACCTGACTTTGAACACTTCCAATGATGGGGCATCCACAGCTTCTCTGGGCAACCTGTTCCAGTGTCTTGGCACTGGAGAGAAAGATGCTGAATCCAAATCTTAGTGGAAGTTAATAGTGTAATCACACTTCCTGTAGAGAGATCTGTAACATTAGCATGTATGTACTATTCTTGTTCGTCATGAGATTCTGGGATTTTTTTTTTTTCAAAAGAAGTCATTAAATGGAAGGTCCACTCTAAGGGTGTTGACACTGACATTCCAAGACAGCAAAACTGAGAGATTCTCAAAGTAGTTGTTGTTTCAAGTAAAACATGCTTTATTGCTCAAAGTCTTCCAATATGGCTTTCATGCATAAATCTCAGAATTGGCAAATTCATTTGGTGGGAATCCTGATGGGAACTTGGATTTCCTTCACAGTAGAAAAGCATAGAAGTACCCAAGCTAGCACAATTGTGACTGCACTATACCACCTACTATTCCAGCCAAAACCAGGACACAGTGCCAGACAGAGAAGGAAGAAATTAACTTTGAGTTACACACTACTACAGCGAGGCTGCTTACAGTGCTGTGGTCAGAAACATAACCATATCTGGAGTCATACTTTCCTTTTATGCCTGTTCTGTGTCACCAAGTGTCTCATATTCTTTGGCACATAGTGGCTCACTTCCAGTAAGAAGGAAGGAACATGGTTCCACTTCTGTTCTGTGACCCGATGGTTAAAACATACCACTGGTAAGTGGGAACTTGTTATTCAAAATCTCTCTGACTAAGGTGACCTTAAACGTAGTCTTCAATTTCTAGTGAATATTTTAGACATTCTGCCATTAATTAAAATGTAAATGTTGCTGCCCATACCATTACCCCTATGGCAATGTTTAATTAGCATCTTGATAGTCTCAATCATTGTTTGAACTTGAACACCTTGTTCCTCAGCATGTGAACAGATACCTCTGAATAGATGCAAAGGGAACTTTATGGCCTTTATGGATAGAGGTGCTGATTGGGTTTAGACTCCCCAGAGATTTAAGGAGTACTTGACATAACATATTTTGTGACTTATGCAAAAACTTAGCAGTCCACATCTGGCCTGCCATCTTAACTACTGTGTAAAGGTACGTTCTGGTAGAAACTGTTTAATGAGACTGTTTCAGGATGAGAGCATGTGATATAATAATGACACAAGTACTATTCAATAGATTCCCAGTTACACTGCTGCAGCAAATTAATAATAGCAAGTTCTTACACCTTAGCATTCCAGAAGTTATATAGCTAATGTTAGCATTGTCATGATACATAATGAACTTCTGCAAGGCATGCCTCCTGTGGAAAGTGAAGAAAATTATGTCATTTCTAATGAAATAGATACCTTCTTATGCAAGCCGGTGATTCTTATGTAGCTCAGAAGATAGTTTTCTGCAGAGATTTTTTGGTGGGCTTTTTTGTGATTTAGGAATGTATTGTCTGAGTGAAGAGGTTTCCTGTTTCTACTTACAGTAAATGTGCAACCTTAAAATATAAGTGTATACAAATCTTTGCGAAAATACATTGTAGTAAAGCAAATATGTTAAGAGGAGAACAGAAGAATTGAGAATTTCCATCTGTTCAGGACATTATTTCAAGTTACTCATTAGAAAGCACCTATGTTTAGAAAAACTTATCAAGAATTAAAACTTTGTTCCCTGGCTTCACAGAAAGACCAAAATTATGTGATGATTAAGTTTCCTAACCAAGTTTTGCTCTAGCTAGGAAGGGAAGGAGTATTTTGAATTTTCATTTCTTCAGTACATAGATCTGTAAGATAAGTGTCAGAGTAAATCAAAACAAGTTTAATTTTGCATGTGTAAAATTGTTTTTTAATCTGTAATGGAAACATTGCTAGATATGTTAGTGCAATGGTAAGTAACTTTTTTTTCCCTTTGGTTATCAAAAAAAGGGTATTCTTTTCATAAAACACATTGTCATGTCTGTTCTGAAACGGGTTGGAATTAGAGAAGGAACCTGCTGTAAAGATGAAGAACAGAGCTCCGGTTTTCCTAAAGTAGTTCAAGTTCTTTGTTTTGCTTTATTTTAAGATGATACTGTTTTTGTGTTAATGGGTTTGTTTTCATTTGTTTATGCAGTCATGTTTGTCAGATGGTTTAATTTCAGTGTGATTAAGAACAGTGTAATAATAAACTCTCACCTATATTTATCCAGCTCATTTTCACACAGATGACATTTAGCTCACCTGAATACGACAGGTAACAGCTATGTTTCAGTAGCAGAGTCTGTATCTTTAATATTTAGGTAATCTTTCAGAGCAAGATCAAAATAGGTAGAAATGATAAAGTTAGGTCATGTTCATTGCTGTGCACTGTGTGGAAGGTTGCGTTAATTCTGATATCTTTATTTTATTTTCAGGGCCCTAACTCAGTCATGATCGCCCTGGTAATGCTGTTGAATATTGGTTTAGCCATTCTTTTTGTCCATTTTCTAACTTGATTGGAATTAGGAAAGGTAAGAAAGGTCTTGTTTTCATATAAAATCACCATCTCCACCCCACCTCAAACAATAAAGATTTAATTTCTTTGCCTACTTTTAATGTTCCCTACTTTAATTTTAGCTATGCCTGAATGTGATTCAACATAGTTATTTAATAATGTAACTGTTTTGACCCTTCAGTGAAGTCATGACAACTAGTGGTGTTAGCCCACAGTTCTCTGCAGTTGTGTCATCAGCCTTTTAAATGGCACCTGTCATACTCAGACACAGGGAAGGAGGCTTGGAATTAGGATGGGACGCAAGAGAGATGAAACTTGGAAAATTCAGCCAGGGGCCCAGATCAGTTTCTCTGCTGATGGCTCGTGGCTTTGGGGTCCTCTGAAAGCTGAAGCAAGCAGCCACGTTGGAAAACAAACAAAATAATCTGCTGAAGCAGCCCCGCCAGTGAAGTGCGTTGGCTTCTCCATCTGTTCCAGCAGAGTGTGACTAAACTGGAAATGTAAGGAGCTGCACTTTTTGTTGATGGAAGCTAACAGCTGCCTTACTATTTTACCGTCTGATGTTTTAGTGGGGAGATGGGAAAACGACTGCCAGAGGAATGTGGTCAGAGGATTCTGTTGCTGTGGAAGTGATTCCAGCGTTCACTCCTATCTCATTAGAAGAAATAGTTAGCAGCATCAGTCACCAGTCTTATTCCATTACCTGCTGCTTTTAACATCTCCTGCAGTGTTCTGGGAGATCGAATTTCATTTGCCTGTGCATGATTCTGTTCATTTGTTGTTTATGAAATCTGATGTATAGCCATAACATAGTGTCTAGTCTAACCTGGAGAAAGCTACCAGTTCTGCCTAGCAGCAGAAACAGAAAACGAAATATCTTTTTCTAATCTGAAGATAAAATTCTTAAATTCATTTTCTTAAACCTGAAGAGTCGTTTTGCTTTAAGGTTTAGCAAGTAATATACCATGACTGCAAAATTTTAAGATGTTGATATCTTCCTAAAAGTGCTCAAATGCTTATGCCAATAGCAAGCAAAACTTTTCATAATAAAAGAATAAGAATCTTAAGATATCAGCACATTCTAAACAGGAGGTGGAATATCAGAATAAGCCAAGAAAGATGAGATACAGGATTTGCATGTCGACTTTTTTTTTCTTTTTTTTTCTTTTTTTTTCTTTTTTTTTCTTTTTTTTTTTTTTTTTTTTAATTCTGGTGCTGTGGTAATTGGTGATTTGAATTATTATGTTTCAACACTGAGGTATTTTGCCAGCGGTTAAAATAAAGTCTTGTCTGAGTGCACATTAATACCAATGACTTTTTTGCCGATTAACTAGTTAAGCTAGTTAATGCTCATAATAAATTATCATAATTTTAAAATACTAGATTTGTGTTGAATACATTCAGGTAGAGCGTTTAGAAAAGTTAAGTGATTGTTTATCAATGTGATGCCTTCAGTGTCTTTAAAGTCTATTTATAATTTTACCTCAGCATTAAAAAAGCCTCAAAATTTTTCATTTGGAAAGTTTGTCTTAAGTAGTTTCACAGCCCTTTGTTCAAATGATATGATCATGTTTCTTTTTATGTGCCATTATACTGTAATTATTGTACCCTATATTAATCAAAAGCATGCTTATTTACTGAAAATATGTGGTGTGATCATTTGGCAAGTAAATATTTTAATTTAAAGCTACAAAAAGCAAAGGGCTTGTATTATGGTTTATTTTATCTCTATTAGAAAATCTTTCATACAATATAGTTTTTGAACCTGTTTGTAAACTTTCTAAGTGTTTGCATGGTTTAATGGGCAACATTCTTACAAAGTACATTAGCTATCTTTTGGTGCAGCATATTAAAGTAACATAGGTGTGGACTGAATATTGTGCAGCGAAGCAGCTCCAAGCAGGGCAGTAACACCATGGTGTTTTTTACAGAAGTATGTTGAGAATCCTGTGTTTTGACCAGTGTGGATAAAGAAGAAAGCAGAAAGAGAGCAAATGAAAATAAAACTTGTATATTTATTTTTTAAAAAAGTTTAAATTGTGTTTTAAATTTAGGAAAGTAATTTTTAAATAAGAACAAAATTTTAAAAGTTACTGTGTAAGCCTTGACATAATGGACGAAATGTTCCATCCAACAGTGAAATCGCCCCGTCTCCTTACATGGAGAGGTAATTTTGTAACTGACGTATTTAATTCCTATTAAATGTTTATTTAAAATACTTTATGCTCTGGAAATAATGGGTAACAAAGCTTATGAAAATGTTTATAAATTTAAGTAAGCATGTTAGTACCATTTATAAATATGTATGATTTATAAGCTTTTTTAAAACAAAGCTCAAACAAATTGTTGGTATTTTTCTAAAATGTGCACAGCTGTATTTTACATGAAAGGCTATTTATAATTGGTTGTTATACTGTACACTACATTTTGGACAGCACAATGAAGCCTGCCAATGTACTTAATAATGTCATTTTGTCTATTTAAAGTTTCTTGCTGTCAGAGAATGAACTCTTTATCTATGAGTTTCTCTATTTATAATTCTTGACCCAAAATGTACAATGTACAGTTTTCACAACTGTATTTGCTCTAATAAAAATAAGTTGGTTATTAATAGAGTTTCAGACTAGTTTTTCCTGTTTATGAATTACTTTGTTCACTCTCTGGAAACAGTTTTTCTAACAAATTCAATAAACGAGGAGCAAAGCAGGAAAATGGGTAAAGTCCTGGCCCCTTTGAAATCACTGAGAGTTACTGTTTTCAACGAAATGATTCTGGGAAACAATTTAAACTAAAAAAAAAAAAAAAAAAAGGCAAGTTTCCTTATGTGTCTTCTTTTATCTTGTGATACAGGATTTTTGTATCTTTTTAAATTTAGCATCTTAAATTATACTCCCACTACAGGGATGGTTTAATTAATCTTGTTTTAATCAGTGAGTGACTGGTCCATTAACAGCTGTTCCTGTAAGTGAATCAACAACTTTTTTAGACTTCCTTCCTTCTCAAAGTCTTCATAGGTTCAAAATTAACATGAAGTTTGTGAGCCAATATTCTACACAGAGAAAATTGATCATTACAACTGTCTTAAAGCCACCACAGTTGCTGAATAAGTAAATCAGCTGAGAATTTTATTTTCTGTGATTCCAGTTCAGATTACAGTACTGAAATCCTAATGTTTAGTTGAAAAGGAGAGCAAAAGTTTTTTTTAGTAGTTCCTATTTAATGGAAACATATTTTTAGGAAGTAATTGTTACTGTCTTATTCTTTAAAATAATTCTACCAGCATGAAGCTTAACTTTAAGAATTTGTATTTTTTATGCAATAACCCACTCCCTAAAGAAAAATTTTGGCTCTTCAAGTAGAGAAAAATACATTCTCAATAAAAATAAACAGAAATAACTATAATGCCAGAAAATTTTAAAGTCAAGTTCACTGAGACGGCTCTTCTCTGACATTTTGTGATCCACGTTGTATAACATGTTCAATAATGAAAGTAAATTTGACATGAAAGATTTCTTAAGTCCTGTGAATGTGATAATATACTCAGGCATATATAAAACTTAACAGCAACAAGCAAAGGATTTGCCCAGAAATAGAAGAAAAAAAAGTTTTCATCATCAGCTGAGAAGTATCACAGCTTCCCTGCCCATCAGTGTTCATAATTCTCAAAAATCAACGTGTATGTAGAAATACAACATTTTTTCTATGGTGTCTGAGAGCAGATGGACATTTTTCCTCTGAGATGTTTTTACCAGTGGCTTATATCAGTTGTAAATGGTTTTACGTGGGAATGCATTTGCTATGCCTAAGGGGAAAAAAAAAAAACCACCAAACCATGGGCACACAATGCAACTTAATGCTACAAGATTTGGTCTAGCATGGAAAATTTTACCCCTCTTCAGTGCAAGGAAATTTTTTCCCAGGCAAAGGAGTTTCTCCTCGCAGAGTTGTGTGTTTGCCCACAGATGCCCGTACGCAGTGAGCTCTCACCTTTGAATTTCAGATCTGGTTTCTTGGGCAACTCCATTTATCTGATTAAACAATATATATAGTGTACACAGAAAAACAGCAAATGAATGATGTTGAGGTGCCAAAGGCTGAAGAAAAAAAATCATCTGTTATCATTACTTTTTAGTGTATCTAGTCCTTTCTTTACTTAGTGTGTATATATAGTCCTTACGTTACCTTTTCATCAGAAAAGCAGTAAGGAACGCAAAGAGCGTGAAATCTTTTCCATTTGCATTCCAAAAGGAGGGATTTGGTTTGAAAGAAGAAATTTCATGACGTATGACTACAACTTGCCTCTCAGATACAGATGTGTGTTAAAAAAATCATTAATACAACTGAGTGCTGACTTTAAAAGAAGTAAATGCCTCTTTATAAGCATTTGATTAAAAGTCTGGAAATAGTTACTTGCTTAACTTTTAATGACACATTACGTATCTATTAAAAGCTCTATCAAGATACAGTTACACAATATTAAAAAATTCTGACAATAATGTGGACGCAATGATAAAACCCTGCAGAAATTCACTACCTTGAGCTACAGTAACATTCTTAGTTAGTTGTTATTAATAAAACATGGTTGTGAATTATATCATAGCTCATTTGAACCGTTTAGTCAGGGGAGACAGTTCTACATACCGTTCTCCTGTGGAAATGTAATTCAGTAAACAAAGCAAATGAAGAGAAGGGAAATTAAACAAGCCTTTCAAATGAAGTAGTCTTCTCATTCTCTCATTTAATATTCACAGAAACAGGAAAAAATAGAAATTATGTTAAGTCTGAGCAAGAAGCTGTGTATGGCAACATACACAGTATCTACATCTACAGTATCCATCTACAGTATCCATCTTTTTTTTTTCTACTGGATGCAGAAACTGCAAAATAAGAGACATTACACCTCCTACCATTGTAGGAGGTAAATATAATTTCCATACACAACATCTTTAAGAAAAACTGTCTATAATGTCAATGGCTTTTAGTCTAGGAGGAAAAAGCAAAAATTTCATCTATATAAACAGTTTATGTTGTGACCATCACTGTAACAGTTAAACAAATCCCTCACCCCCATAAAACCAATAGCAAAAATGAAGCTGGTAACAGAATTGGTTAAAATCTCTCATGTTTCTTCTTTTTGTTTGCTAGAAAAAGAAAAAAAAAGGGGGGGGGGGGGGAACAGGCAGCATTTTTTTAATCTGATAATCTAAATTTCATCATGTCAATATGTGTTTGTTTCAGCTAATATTTTTCACAGTCGCTTGGGACTGGTTATTCAGGAGATTTTAGGTGCAAACTGGCAGTATATTGAGTGCCATTTCTCCAAGTGGAAGAATTTGAATTTTTTTCAGTGATGGAAAAGAACAGGATTTTCCTTATCACCCTTGAAATGGTTTTGGTTGTATGTTTTCTGTGCTTCCACTGTTTTTTTAATTATCTTTTATCCTCCACTGCCAACCCACCCCGCAACTCTAGCAAATTCAACTTACTCTCCTTTTCCCCACACACAGCCCTTTGCCCCCGCAGTTCAGCCACTTCCTCCAGTAACTCATGCTTTTTCTGTTGGGCACACTTGTTTAAGCAGCGAGTTTAGCTCACTATGGCTATGGAAGCCATCTCTCTTGCAGTTTGTCCTACACCAAATTGCATGTGTCACGTCACAATTTTCATTTGGTCCAGTTTTCTGCATACTATTGATGCTGGTTTATGCAACTGCATTCTGGTTTCAAACCTATACTCACCATCTCCCATATCAGGACAGTGATTTAATTGGGAATTGGAGAGAAAA